TTCAGTTTTTTATTTGTTAAAAAAGTTTGAAATATCCAATAAATTTCGTTCCACTTCATGATTGTGTCCCACTTGTTGTTGATTCTTCACAAAAAATTACAGTTTTATATCTTTATGTTTGAAGCCTGAAATGTGGCAAAAGGTCGCAAAGTTCAAGGGGGCCGAATACTTTCGCAAGGCACTGTACTAGGTATAAGCATATTGATAATGGATTAGCATTTGTGGATATGTGTGAAATTATGTGTGTTGACATATCGACTGTCTTTACATGCTTGAAAGAATAAAATCAATCAAAAAAACCTGACAGAACTGGAGAGGATCTGGAAGGAGAAATGGCAGAGGATCCCCAAATGCAGGTGTGAAAAACTTGTTGCATTATTCCCAAAAAGACTCATGGCTGTATTGCTCAAAAGGGTGCTTCTACTAAATACTGAGCAAAGGGTCTGAATACTTATGAGCATGTGATATTTCAGTTTTTCTTTTTTAATAAATCTGCAAAAATGTCAAATTCTGCGTTTTTCTGTCAATATGGGGTGCTGTGTGTACATTAATGAGGAAAAAAAAATGAACAAATGATTTTAGCATATGGCTGCAATATAACAAAGAGTGAAAAATGTAAGGGGGTCTGAATACTTTCCGTACCCACTCTACATATGAAGATATGTATGAGATCATTTTTGCAATAATAACTGATACTTTGTGAGCGTTTAAGGGTATTCATTCCCTAGTGCTAACTTCTGATCTCACAGTAGACTTACTTAGACACTATCCTGACACCAGATAATTCAGAAAACAAACATCAAACATGCCTTCAACAGAATGAATGATCCACTGATCCTAGATTGTCATCAGAGTCAAAAGGGACATCTAGCCCTGTTGGTGAGAAACAGCCTCTACTAGGTTGTAAAAAATTCTTTGTGTAAATAATATGATGACATGGGTTTTATATTTCTGATGGAATTCTACGCTTGTTATGCATGTGAGTCCTCATTATGCCAATGTTTTGCTTCACCAGGATGGGTCTACTCAGTGGGCATCAGCTGACCTGGGAAGTGATGAGAGGAAACAAAAGTTTTTACGATTGATGGGTGCTGGCAAGGTTTGTTTCTTGTATTATATATAGATTACTGTCATTTCACTTATTCAGGAGTCTTAGTCCATAGCAAAAAGATAAAAGCTTTGTTTATCTGGTCACTGTCACACTATAACCACTGGAGAAGTGGTGACAACTAGAGGTGGGAACATTTACAGATTTTTCTAAATGAGTACTCATGAGAATGTAGTATCAAAGGTATGGCCTAAGGAGCTAGTTATCATGATATCACATACCCCCAGAAGTGGATCATAGCATTACTGCTCCCTAACGTTAGCCCTGTGCAGCTTGTTGTGAGTAACAGCAGCCACACTGACTTGACCTGTGGACAGTGATGCCTGAAACATAATCGGGACATGTGCAGGGCTATATTTGTGTGTTATTTTGTGGGCTAATTATTGTGTGAGGGTTTAAGTGGTGGAGAGTTCCTGCCTCAAGTGGAGGAGTTCAAGTATCTTGGGGTCTTTGTTCATGAGTGAGGGAAGGATGGAACGGGAGATTGACAGGCGGATCGGTGCAGCTTCGCTTCTGCAGTAATGCGGTCGATGTACCGGTCCGTTGTGGTGAAGAAGGAGCTGAGCTGTAAGGCGAAGCTCTTGATTTACTGGTCAATTACGTTCCGACTCTCACCTATGGTCATAAGCTTTGGGTCATGAAATGGCAAGATCCCGGATACAGGCGGCCAAAATGAGCTTCCTCTGCAGGGTGGCCAGGCGCACCCTTTGAGCTCCTCCCGGGTCACCCTATCTCTGAGTAGAACTGCTGCTTCTCCACATCTAGACAAGCCAGCTGAGGTGGCTCGGGCATCTGTTTCGGATGCCCCCTAGGGGACTTCCTAGGGAGGTGTTCCGGGCATGTCCCACCGGGAGGAGGCCCCGGGGAAGACCCAGGACACGCTGGAGGGACTATGTCTCTCGGCTGGCCTGGGAACGCCTCGGCATCCCCCTGGAGGAGCTAGAGGAAGTGTCTAGGGAGAGGGAAGTCTGGGCATCTTTGCTTAAACTGCTGCCCCCGCGACCCGGTTCTGGATAAGCGGAGGAAAATGGATGGATGGTTTAAGTGTCTGATTTGTGGTTCTCAAGAACCAACTGGATCTCCTAGGTGCAAAGCTGGTCATGTTGCAGAAAGTTGAAATGGGAGTAGTTGATGAGAGAGAGAGGCTGCTGAGCTGAATGAGCATACTGCTCAACTCCAAGCTGTGCAGGGCTCACGTTATTACAAGAAAATACAGTATGTCGTAATAACGAGCAAAATCACATTTTAACATGAACATATCATAAAAATGAGAAAAGTGTCTTATAATGAAAATTTCTTGTAATAAGATACTAAGCAAACGTTTAGGCAAGTCAGACATTGCCTAAACAGTTATGGTATGGCCAGCGTGTACACGTGGACTCGCGTACACGACTCATCCCTAGTGACAACTGATAAAAAATAAGATTTTTTTTTCTGTTTTCCAGAAAGAACACACTGGACGTCTTGTCATTGGAGACCACAAGTCGACATCCCACTTCCGCAGTGGTAAGTTTCATTATTTCTATCTGTAAAATGCTGTATTCATTCACCAGATCTAAGACTTTTACAAACTACTGTCCCACCCCAGTTATCCGTGCTGCCACACCTTTATGCCCAATGCAGTTAAGCTGGCTTGCGCATTACACAACCCCTGCACAGACCTATCCATGGATGGATAGGTCTGTGTGGCTGGGTGTGCCTGCTGTGACTGGTGTCTCTTTTGCAGGGCAGGAAGATGAGAAGATCAATGAGCAGCTGGAGATACAGTACCACCAGAGCATGGACGGGAAGCTGTCAGGCCGGAACCGGAGACACTGTGGCCTGGGCTTCAATGAGGTGAGCGGTCATCCAGAGCCAGAGGAGAGGGCATATAGAGAAGATTAAATATGTCTGAACTAGGGGTTTTGTCCCATCAGAGATAGTTAGTACATCTATAAAATATCGAGATAAAGAACGTGGTTTTGGCAAAGGCAGTTGCGATCAATGATGAGTCATTGTTGGGGCAGGTAATGTGTGTGTTGTGCACACAGTATATGTAGTTTCAGGTGTAGAATGGTGGAACACTTCTAGATGACCTGTGAGGTCAGCAGTGTTCATATGGTACTAGACAGTAACAGGGATGTTGCTTTTTGTTCTCTTTGCCACAGCCTGAGCCACAGCCAGAGTTTCCCTCCCTAGCAGTGGACAGTCAAACCAAAGCAACTGAGCCAGAGAAGTCCACCAGTGAAAAAGAGCCCACAGAAGACCAGGACAAAGGCTGCGATCCCAGCCCAAAGCAACAGACCTCAGACCAGGCCAAGCCCAGCTCAGTCAGTGGGAATGAAGAAGGGAAACACGGCTACAAAATGGCCTTTGTGAAGTCAGCGTAGGCCCGGGGGGTGTTTAGTTATTTTATCTCTGATTTGTACATTTTAACATTTACTGCAGGTGATCAGCTATTAGTTTTGCCCTTTTTACAGTGTAGAGATTGATTCTCTACACAAGCGTTAACTAATGGGCAGAAAGGAGGATCACACTCCATGACAAGAAATCGCGTTTACAAAGCTCTGACTGACACTGATGAAGTCTGGATGGATATAGACATTGTCAATTGTAAATAAAGTGAGCTCTTGTCACTCAGTATGATTCTTTGTGATCATAAGGATAATACAATACTCCTTTATAGCGGAGGAAAGCTCCACGTGCACATCTCTGTACACAAGCACTCATCTTTAGGTGTGCATGTTAATGAATTAAGCCTGCGAGTTAAAATGTCAGCGTTTTGATTTGAGCGGTGTCGCATCATGTTACAGTAGCAAATGTTTTTATTTTGAATTTTTTAACAGTCGCTGCATTTGACACAGATTGTGTTGGATAAAGCCATTCAGCATGATTGGTATACATGTTGTGAAATGTACAATTTTTTGTTTGAAAACCAATAAAAGGAGGTCTTATTTGTCATGTTTGGATTTACTCAAATGTTTAGTGTCTGAAGTCTGCACCGACACTGATAAGTGCAAGAAAAACCTGTTTAGTCAGTTGCGCTTTTCAAAACAAGGTCTAAAGAGGGAACAGTTTGATTTGTGCCTCATGCGTTGTGTCCACCTGGGAGAATGTACAGCAAACTGCCCAGGAAATCCTTGTAATAGAAGTTTGGTAAAAATCTAAAATGCTTTGTAGTACATTGCTGTGCTGGACGTGTTGACATGCACCTGCTGAGCTCGATGCCTCGCCATATTTCAGTACCACTGGCTGAAAATACAGGGGTCAACCCCGTTTGATGTATGGTCCTATGGTACCTACGTCATCACTACTTAAAAGTAGGCTCTGATGAATGTAAGGCCATGGGGGGTACATTTTAGCTCACAACACCTGTACTAGAGGCCTCCATGGTGTAAGACGTACTCACGTCTTTTACTTAAGTAAAAGTAGCACAACAATGTAAAAATACTCGTTACAAGTCAAAGTTCTACATTCAAAATTGTACCTAAGTAAATGTACGAAAGTATTGGCATCAAAACATAAGGTATGAAAAGTAAAAGTACTCATTACACACATTCCCGTATATCATTATTGACAAACACTTTGACCTATTGTAGTACTAATACTGATGCATTATTGTGTACTTAACATTTAATGTTGCAGCTGGTAAATTGGGAACTAGTTTTGATGAAATTACATGCATTTAATTTGAATATCTGCTGGGTAGTTTGTGAATTTTCCATCATAGATCACTGAGGTCTTATACTGGTTCTGAAAAGTAACTAGTAACTAGTTATAAAATAAATGTAGTGGAGTAAAAAGTAGTGTTTACCTCTAAAATGTAGCGAAGTCAAAGTATGAAGTAACAGAAAATGAAAATACTCAAGAACAGATACCTCAAACTTGTACTTGAGTAAATGTACTTACTGTAGTTACTTTCCATCACAGAGACCTGACGGTGCGTGTGCTTCGTGGTCAGTCTGACAAGGAAACAGGTTGTTACCTGATTTAGTTTGATATATTTTAAGTGTTAGTCGTGGCCTACGACATGCCTCCAAGTTTCAGGTCTGGATGTGAGGGTAGGGCTTCACACGCACACACAAGGTGCACAGCAGAACACAGAAGCGTGCATTATGGTTGTATTCACACAAAATCCTCCCCACAGTATTGTGCAGAGGTGTGTCTGTGTTTATTCGTACTTTACAACGTATAACCACAGTGAAACAATCGTTTTTACTCTGATTCACTGACGTTGTCTCTCTCCTCGTTCATTCTCTAGCTCGCTAGGTTTTCTTGTAAACCATCCCAGGTTCACAGGAAGCACATCTCGATGCGGAAACTGATTCCGACACACAACCTACTTTAGAAGAAACGGCGAACTTCACCGCAGAAGAATGGACCAAACGGCGAACTTCACCGCAGAAGAAAGGACCAAAGTACCAAGAGTTTCTGCCCCAAAAGGAGGAAAACACGCCTATGGTGAAGACAAAGCGGGTAAAACGTGTTTTTGCATTTGCCGAAATAAATTAATAGAACACGCCGATAGTGTTCTAAGTATCTTAAAACTCATTTAAATTGGATTCAGAGAAGTAGGGGAGACCATAGTTGGCACACTGCTTGTATTTCCAACACTATAAGGTGAAAGTACTAAAAGCTGAATAAACCTTTAGGTTTGGTGCATCTGCATGGGCTGATGTAATAGTGAACACAGATTGACTGTTTTACACACTCAGAAGTAAAAAACCTGGACGGTACGTTGTATGTAGTTTTGTTCTTCTATTAAAGGATGTCATGATAAGATATTTTTATTTTGAAGAGGAGAGAATGTTGTATCTTTTTGGTAAAGGTTATATTTTTTAGACACTTCTAGTCTTGAATGTATTTGTAAACCGCCAGATTTGATTTGTGACTACTTATGGGAGGAATTTACCCCATAAATTACTAATGCATTATTATAGTTGCTGTGTTATCTTTTCTTTTCTTTCTGAGCAAGACCTAGTCGAAATTGAGTATTTATTTTAACAATTGAACAAAATATAACTTGTCTTTTTAAAAAACAAAATAGATGTTCCCTCCAAAATGCATGCTGCAGAAGAGACTGAAAACTTTCCTGACATGTCACCATTTCCTGCATCATCCAGCGTGTCAATGAAAAGTGATGCATCCATGGATAATCGTCATGACTTCACTAAGGAAAATCCTGCAAGGTACATATAGCCTATTCAGGGTCTTTTTTTCACTTAATAATGTATGTGTTTCCTTTATAAATGTACTGTGGGTTCATAGAGTATTCAGATCCATTCACTATTTGCACACAGTTTAATTTTAAATTGACTTTTTTGCTCATCAATCTACACCTAATAAGCCATAATGTCAAAGTAAATGACAATATCAAAAACTTGTAAAAGTATTTAGATCCTTTGGTCCAAATTGTGGGCATTTAATTTTCCTGTGTGTCTAGAACATGACTGTCCACCTGGCAACCTGAATTGATCTTCATGATGATACTGTGTAAATGCTTTAAAACACTGTGTCTAGACCACAATATAAACCCCAGGTCTTGGTGGGCAGCTGTCTGCCTTGACAGGTTGGGGTGAGTGGATAGAGGAGCAATAAAAGAAAAGCAGCAAGTAACAACAAGCAAACAAACCCTGGTGACTGCTCATCAGAAATGTACGGCTCTGAAGCCAGAGAAAGGTACAGGGACAGAGAGAGAGGACACTACAGGAGAGAGGACACAAAGTTAGACATGCTATTTGATTTGATTTATTCTTTCAAGCATGTAAAAACAGTTGATATGACAACACACATAATTTTACACATAATCCAATATCAATTTACTTATACCTAGTACATGCTTGAATGGAGTAGGAAGAAGTCAGACTTAGTCAGACAACATGCTATGGTCACATACAAGTGCAGGGAGAGGAGAGGTGCAAGGATTTGATTAATCTTAAAATAACATTATTCTCTATTTATCTCAAGAGACCAATTTGACTGTTCAGAATCAAAGGAGATGGATGGAAATATCATTTTTGAGGTGGGTTATATCCATAATCTTTGTACTGATGGCATCACCACAGGCATAAAATAACAGTATTGTAATGCTACTTGTTTATAGGTTTTTTTTTTAGCTTAATTCATTTATTTATTTATAGTCTAAGTTAGTGAACCTACAGCATGAAAGCTTTACTCATTCTACTTTCTCATTACAGTTGGTGGAAAACTGTGGCATGGACATTTTAAGGCGTGAGCTCCAAAGGTTTAAAAGGATGCTCTTCCCACATCTCCACACCTCACAATCTTCTGAGAGTGAAATGCAGGAGCAAGGTGGTTTGATTACTGAAGGCAGGCAGCAAGACAACAGTGCCAGTGAAGGGGCTCTGAAGATCACCCTACATGTTTTAAAGGAAATGGGCCGTAAAGATCTTGCTGACGAACTGGAGAAACGTAAGTACCAACAAGTACAGTCAAAATACAGCTTACTGTCATATTTTTGAAGCTGTCAGTTTTATTTCAAATTGTAAAAAACAATGTATTTCTTGTGTTCCCCACAACACAAACACACCTTATGTCTTATGTTTGTGGTTTTTTTCTATGTTCAACTAGACATTTATGGGGAGCTTGATGTCTGCCAGCGCAAACTCAGACAGAAATTGAAAAGGTTTGAATACATTTTCGAGGGAGTAGCACAACATGGGAACCAGACACTTCTCAACAAGGTGTACACCGAGCTCTACATCATCGAAGGAGGCAGTGGAACTGTTAATACTGAACATGAAGTCAGGCAAATTGAGGCTGCCACCAGGAGACGACCAACAGAAGTTAAGCCAATCAAGTGTGAAGATATCTATAAGCCCCTACCTGGGCAACATGGATTCATCAGAACGGTACTGACTGAAGGAATTTCTGGCATTGGAAAAACAGTCTGTGTCCAGAAGTTTAATTTGGATTGGGCTGAAGGACGAGTTAACCAGGATATCCAACTCCTAATTAATCTTCCATTTCGGGAGCTGAATTTGATGAAGAGAGACTACACACTGACAGAGCTTCTTCATCATTTTCTTGAAGAGGCTAAAGAAGCAGGAATTTCAAATTTTGGCAAATACAAGCTTGTGCTGATATTTGATGGGTTGGATGAGTGCCGGCTTCCCCTGGACTTTATCCACAATGAGCCCTGCTGCAGTGTCTCACAGCCAACTTCAGTGGATGTACTACTGACGAATCTCATCAAGGGGAACCTGCTTCCTTCTGCACACATCTGGATTACGTCCAGGCCTGCAGCTGCAGATCGCATTCCAGCTGATCTTGTTCATCGTGTGACAGAGATACAAGGGTTCAATGACCCCCAGAAGGAAGAGTACTTCCGGAAGAAAATCTCTGATCAAAACATGGCCAGTAGAGTAATCTCACATGTTAAGTCAACAAGGAGCCTCCATATCATGTGTCACATACCGGTCTTCAGCTGGATATCTGCCACTGTTTTGCAAAGAATTTTAGAAGAAACAGAAAGAAAGAGAACAGAGGAGGATGGGGACAGAAGAGAAATGCCCAAGACTCTGACACAAATGTACACACATTTTCTGGTATACAACTCAGTGATTAGAACTCGGAAGTATTCACAAGAAGAAGAAGAAGCATCCCAAACACAGGCCCAAGTCAAAACTGATGAAGAGATGATCTTGAAGCTGGGAAAACTGGCCTTTGAGCATCTGATGAAAGGCAACATGATCTTCTATGAGTCTGAATTAAATGAGTACAATATCAATGTCAGTGATGCTGCAAAAGATTCAGGAATATTCACAGAGATTTCAGAGAATGAGTTTGGATTTCATTTGGAAAAGGTCTATTGCTTTGTGCATTTGAGCATCCAGGAGTTTTTTGCTGCAATGTACGTCTTTCACACATTCACCCGTTTCAGTCAGAACTTGCTAGAACAACAAGAAACCACCGCTGTAAAGCAGGCTGCCAGTGACATAACCAGCCTCCTCAAGAGTGCAGTGGATAAAGCCTTGCAGAGTAACAATGGGCAGCTAGATCTCTTTCTTCGTTTCCTTCTTGGCCTCTCACAGACACCCAATCAGACTTTGCTGAGGAGCGTTCTGACCACAGTGGGAAGCAGTTCACCAAGAAATGAGGAGATTGTCAAGTACATCAAGGAGAAAATCCATGAGAATCACTCCACAGGGAGATCCATCAACCTCTTCCACTGCCTCAGTGAGCTGAATGATCAGTCTCTTGTGGAGGAAATCCAAAACTACCTGAGCTCTGGTAGCTTGTCAGAGACCAAACTGTCCCCTTCACAGTGGTCTGCTCTGGTCTTTGTGTTGCTGACCTCTAAGGAAGATATGGATGAGTTTGACCTAAGGAAATATTCAAGATCAGAGGAGGGTCTTCTGAGGCTACTGCCAGTGATCAAAGAATCCAGAGTGGTTTTGTGAGTATAGAAGAACATTATCTTCTGCATTGGACTGCCTAGAGCTAAAATCTAGTTAGTTATAAATCTTATTGTGTAGTTTCAGATTTATTATTAAACTGCTGTGGGTGGCAGATTGAAATATCTATACTTCATCTTGCAACTTTCTTTTACTCCATTATTTGCCACTACAGTTTGACTGTCTGTGAGCTGTAGCTCCTTATGGTGAAGACCCACTGAGCACGGTGTGGCGCTAAGCGAAATTCACCCCGTTCATTTTCTGAGGCATGAACAAATCGCTTCATAAGGCATTGTGGGAAACCAGGCGATGCGAAAAGGGCTTGTAAAGCGACCAGAGGGGAGGGGTCAGAGCTTATCTTTTGCAAATGAAGGTGAAATTTGTATGGAAGTGACGCAGTGAAAACTGACAAAGGAGCTTGTTTGGATACGGGTGAATCGTAAAATATCTGTGAATGAGAAAATATTAGTTGTAGTCTCCCTCGTATGACCTTTGCCTTCTAGATTACACTGACAAAGAGATGATAAATGCAGCTTTGAGCAAAGTTGTAGAAACTGTCAGATAAAGTGATGAATTAAGTACACAGACCTGGCAAAGACATGCTAAGAGGCTAGCATATACACATTTTCTGTTAAATATAAGAATGCTGTAACTTGTCACTCTGTTGCCCTGTGCTGCCATGACCATAACGACGGGCCAGAAGTGGCAGATGTGGGGACGTGTGAATTATTCCCTTTCAGTGGGTCTTCACCATTAGATTTTGTGCTGGAAAGCAGTGCTGCAGAAGTGCTGTGAAATTCTAAACCAGTGAAGCACAATATAAAATATAGCGTAGTCGTCAGTGGTCAGCTGTCTCATTTATCTATGGTAAATACAGCGTTGCCTCAAAACTAACTTCAGTGGATTAAACCAGTACATCAATCTGTTAAAACAGTTTGTTTCTTTTTTTTTTAGGCTTAAAGAATGCAACCTCACAGGGAACTGCTGTGAAGCGCTAGCACAAATTCTCAGTTCAGGCACTCCATGTCTGAAAGAACTCGACTTGAGTGACAATGATCTGCAAGACTCAGGAGTAGAGCTGCTGTCTTATGGACTGGCAAGACCAACATGTCAACTGGAAAAACTAAGGTCTGTGAAGAGCTGCTGAAACAGATTATTGCTAACAAACAAAGCGCTGACAATAGAAACATCATTCAGACTGCCTTTACCATCATAAGCTCTAAGTAGTCTCATTTTGATATGTTTCAACTGAGGACAGTAGTTCCCAAACTTCTTGTTTTGCAGCCTTTTAAAGCAAAGCAAGGTCTGCATGCAACCCTCTGTATTTCTGTACTAAAGCTGGAAGAACAGTCAGAAGGAATAAACCTCGCAAAAGCTGTTTTCTAGCTTGTTAGCCATCTCACAAGCTCTCAGATTTATCTTCTGACCTGAGGATTGGGAACCACTTTTAACTGAATTAAAGCACATGGCAAATTCCAGTCTACAGTACAATCAATTAATAAAATATTGAACTTATTTATTCAAAGTTTTCAAGTTCAGTTTCCTCTTATTCCTCAATTTCAGGCTGCCATTCTGTGGGATCACAGAAATTGGTTGTAGGTTTTTGGCTGATGCTCTAAGGTCCAATCCCTGCCATTTAAAGGAACTTGATCTGAGTTATAATCACCCTGGTAAACAAGGGGTGGAGCTGCTGTCTGCTGTACAAAAAGATGTTAAACACCTCACGATCAGGTAAAATTTTGATTATGTGACATGAGCTGTCTTATTCTTTTACTTTATTTTTTGTCTTTCAACAAATTTATCATAAGGCATGATTAAATACCAAATAACCAGTTTTTGGCTCTTCCTAGTTTCAACGCCAATGCAGAGTGCTACCTAAAATCGGCTCTTAAGAAATGTAAGTGTCCTTTAACATTTACAAAAATGTTGGTTTATGCAAACAAATCACTCGCTTGACACAGGCAGACAAGTTGTTAATCGATGACTACTTGGTTTAAATAATACTGAAAATGTCTATGAGACACTGCTTTGTTTTTAAGGTACTGAACGACATAACTATGTACTGTGTGTTATTTCTGCTTTCAACAGATGCATGCAAGCTCACTTTGGATGCAAATACAGCCCATTCACACCTATCTATTTTTGGTGACAACAAAAACATGACTCGGATGGAAACAGCTCTGCCATATCCTGACAGCCCAGAGAGATTTACAGACTGGGGGCAAGTGCTTTGCCAGGAGGGTCTGTCTGGTCGTCATTACTGGGAAGCAGAATGGACTGGGCAATGGACAGGTATAGGAGTGGCTTACAAAGGAATCAGGAGAAAAGCAGAAGGTAACGAATGCGTCCTTGGCTATAATGATCAGTCCTGGAGTCTGCGCTACTGTCATGGCAAATACACTGCGTGGTATAATAAGAGCGATGCAGACATATCTGCTCCCTACTTCAGTTCTAAAAGGGCTGGAATATTTTTAGACTGGTCAGCTGGCACTCTGTCCTTCTATGCTGTATCATCAAACGCCATGACCCACCTGCATACATACCACACTGAATTCTCTGAGCCTCTTTATCCAGGCTTCAGGCTGGGGTTTGCAAATACTTCATTAGCTCTATGTCAACTAGAAAACAGGGAAATCTAGAATGAGCGTGTTGCAGTCGTATGACTCCGCCAGCCAGTGCCAGCCAGTCAATGTGACAGAAGTGAGGTCACTGACCTTTGACCACAAAAATCTAATTAGTCCATCGATGAGCCAAAATGGACACTTGTGCCACAGTAACTTGGAGAAATCTGGGTGAGGAATCAGTGAATATAACGCCTCAATTCCACACACCTCAGTCTATGTACGAAATCCATTAAAAACATTTTTCTCAGGTCACAGTTGTTCCTGCTTTTCAGGTTTGTTTTCTTACCAGAGCTGTCAGAAGTGAATCAGATTGAAGCAGGTGGTAGACACGTAGAGAAGCATCTTGACAGACTCCCAAATGCAACTACTAAATGAGTGTATATGTGTACAGTATTTTATCTATATAGATGTACATATAGGCCTGTCGTTTAGGTATTACGACAATACTGTATCTAATGTTTTGTAACAATATTGCTTTTAAGCCAAATAACAAAGTAGTATTACATCACTAATGGTATGCTGTCCCTGGTAGGCTAGTGGTTAAGGCGCAGTGCTCTCGACTTCAGGTTGCGTCAGGAAGGGCATCCGGCATAAAACACGTGCCAAATGTCAACATGCGAGTCGTCAGTGTGGCAACCCCTAAACGGGAAAAGCCGAAAGTGACTTTCTTTCTTATTACATCACTAATGGTCTGGTGTATGTGTGTGTAACTGAGATATATATTTGAAAAAAGCTGCAACCATCTCAGGAAAACAGATGTCAGACTGAACATGTTTATTTTTATTATGTTGTACATTTTCTGTAATGACTCCACTAATTTCATGTTTTTATAATGATTCATGTTGTATTCCAGTACGTTTATCTGACCGGACTGTGACAGTGTAACGATTCATGAAATATAAAGTATGTTGATAAACATATATGTGGCTCAGAACACTGTAATAAATAAGTGATTCATCCCAATCTGAGAACGAGGCATTGACTTTCATTTCACTCTTCTTCTATTCACTCATCTAAAATACAGATCAACCGGTCAAATAACGCAATTTGCAGATAAAAGCAACTCGCTTGTGTTATAAATGGTTAGTCTGTTGTGCAATCTAAGTGGAAGCAGTAAAACTTCTGTTTCAATACTACAAATCAAAACTCATTTAGAAACATCTGTGTAGTTGTCAGTCATATAAGAACTTTTTACAGGTGAATCAGTTAGTTGGCAGTAGATGAAAAATCCCCTCCACAACGAGTCTTCTGTTGTGAGGCGCTGGTTGTTCCTATGGTTTAGTGATCTGCAGCAGCTTTGGCTGAGAAGAAAACACAATGAAGACATATCAGAGGTGCAACGCATCTTTAAAATGCATCAGCTGTGCTTATGCAGATTAAGTGCATACTTCACTTACAAAAGAATTATATTTATTTTAATTAGCTTCCAGTAGATTTGAGAAGGACAAGCTGCCCCTGTAACAGTTTAAAGTTTTGCATAGGTGCTTTTGTATTTGTGTCTCTGTCAGGACTGAGTTGAGGTTTACAGCTCTGTAATCTCAGGACATTCTGTCTGCTTTTTACTTCTTGATGAGGCTGTTTTAGAGCTGACTGGCTTTTGGGGTAAAGTTTACACTTATTTAACTTGGAATACAAGGGCTTAGAGAAGGCATGTGCCATAGCTGTGATGGCTGACGTTAAAGCCAAGGGGATGCAAAATATTTAGGAAGATGCAGACACACTAACCTGCGACCAGTTTGCTTTTGCGTGAGGCCTCTGAGGCCAGCGCGTGGGACACGTTCATGAGCCTCTCCTGCTGCTGTAGAGCCGCGTCCAGCTCAATGAAGTCCAACGAGGTATTAGACTGAATGTTCTGAACGCTGTCAAAAGGACAAAAGACACAGGACTGTTAAACTAAAATGCGTTCCTTCTGTAGCTATAATGTTCACACCAGCTGTCTGAGAATGATTCTTCAAAAAAAGCACTCAGGGTAACTGGAATATTTACTTCACACTCAGTGTCTTTTAAAATAAATACAGTTCTAACCATCCGAAGCGTAAGAGCCACTCCAGGAGACCACAGCAGGATCTGACTGCAAAACAAGTCTGATGCTATTGTCCACAAAACCACCAAAAACAGTAAGAGGCTGACCTAGATTTGGACCTGGATTTGGCCAGGAGGCACTTGATGCGCTCAGCCCGGCGGAAACGTTCCTCCAGCTCCTCTGGACTTACTGGCTCCTCGGGGTCAGACTCTACGTAGCGTTCTGGGATGGGAACCTTTTGTGGTGTGGACAGCTGCATATTGGACAGAAAGGTAGTCAGTCATAAAGCTGAGGGATGTGCGCTGGCTACATGATGTACTGGATGCTCCACCATAACTAATGGTTTCTGGTATTCCCCAGTGTCTTCATTCCAGTGGAGGTATCCATTAGCTATGCAGCAACTGGCTTGGTTATATGTTGAACCTCCTTCTTAAAGACTCTAAAGAATTCTCAGGTATTTTGTTAATACACAGGAGCTGAGCCTTTGGACTAAAGCTATATCCATCCATTATCTATACTGCTGATTCCTGAATAGGGTCACAGGGGGCTGGAGGCAATCCCAGCTGACACTGGGCAAGAGGCAGGGTCCACCCTGGACAGGTCAGTGTTACATCCTTTGAAGAAAATCTAGCATTAATGTCAGAAAAACAAATCAAATCAAGAAACTCACTTTTTTGTCAAACTAGAAACTGTTACATGCAGAGTCAGAAAATGTACCATATCATATCCATACTCTTCTTATAAGTCAAGTTGGGGGGGGTCTGAGGGTTACAGGTTTCCACTTCAGTCTGACTATTCTCTACTGAGCAGATGTTACCCCATGAATCTGAACACAGGAAATCATCTTCTGATCCTGCGACTTCCTCTCTGAACGGCCGCCTCTAATACCAGCAGGCTGCCCTGCCATGTGTACTTCTAGTGAATGAGACAGATCAGTCCCATATGTGCGCCTACCTCTCGACTGATATCCAGGTTATAGTCAACCGGTTCCACATCCACCTCTCGTACACATGTGGCCGTCGCAATCACCCACTCATCCGACCGGAGCCTGCCTCTCTCTTTCACCTGGTTCCAGCCTTCATCACTCTGACCTTCTGCCCCCAGTCTCTCCTCCTGCCAATCGAACACCTGGAAAAGACAGGAGTCAGGATTACACAGATGGTCAGAAAACTGTGAAATATACATGTCCTGGTATCGTTTTAGATGCGAGTCTGTGAGTAAATACAAATTAATCCCAAAACCTTAGTGGACATGTTTGAACGTTTTGCACGTAGACTGACATACACAATGTTAAGCAGACCTTTGTGTAGACATCGGGCCTCAAAGTGCCACTTGGCAGCAGTAGATATAGGCAGCTAAAACCTTTAGAGGTTTACATTATGGCTGTTTTGTAGGGCTGTAACTAGTACTATGTGAAAGAAACTCAAAGAAAAAATACTCGTTCCGGCTTCTCAGATTTGAGTAATTTTTTGGTTCCTCTGGTCTTCTGAAAATTGAATATCTTAGGACTTTGATTGTTGATAAGACAAATTTGAAGAAGCTCGCTTGAAGATTTTTACTATTGTAAAGAAAATCTGCAGGTAAATCAATAAATAAATTAACGATTAGTTGCAGTCCGTTTTTTTTTTATAGATCAGTGAAGGTTAATAAATGAAGTGATAAGTTTGTACTGTTCACTAAAGTGAAACCCACAAGACAAACCTACATGGAGCAGTGGCAGGAGGGTCAAAACAGGGTAGTGACAACCTCTTTGTGACCGAAAGCAGTGGGATTTATGGGGAAATAGGAAAACTAGTACTGACAAGAGCACTGCTGTTAAATGAAAGGGGGTCGTCTCCACCCCTAAAATACATGATTTATACTTCTGCAATATAGATCTGTGTATAAAAATGCCACACAAGAGTTAAATATGTTATGCAGTTAGTTGTGCCACAGGTAGAGGGAGAGAAATGTGAATTTAACTTTGCTGTGAAACCAGGAATAATTATAGCTAGATGTTTCTGCAGGGATCTGAAAGGATGATGTTTAGTAACATTACCACACAGAGGGAACCCAGGCAGATAATTAGTTTGTGTTTCTGGAATATATACATACCACATCCTTCCCTCCAATGCACATCTGCATCTGTAAAAATACTGTGCGTGCTTGTGTGGTGAGGGGTACTTGTGAGTAATCATCAAAGGAGCATCAAAGCCATGCATGCATCCTTCCTGCTCCAGCAGCCTGCAGCAGGGTCTCTGGGAATCAGTGTATTCCTGTGATTTGTACTCAAGAGAATCAATCACATACAAAATGATAGAGAGAGAAAGAAAAAACATGCAGGCACACATTCATCAAACCCCAGCCAGATTAGGAAGAATGCAGCCAAGAGCAGGTTCAGAAGCAAGAAACTCTTTATTGTTGAGTGCAACCCTCCACAAGATAGAAAAGAAAAGGGACAAGAATTCTGTTCCTTCTCAATTACACAGAACTAGGTAGTGACTAGCAGTTCACTTTTCTAAATTCTCTACTATAGTTCTACTCTTTGACTGATTAACCTCCAATAACTATTTTTCTCTTTGAGCTATTATATTGTACTTAGCTGTGGAAAGGTAAAAGCAATATGGCAGAAAAGCTTTCCAGGTTGGTGCATTTTAGAAAACCAAGGAGCAGCAAGCAGCACCATAGAGAACAAACACTGAAGTAGGATGCACAGGTTTTGAATTTTTGAAGTCATATTTTAGGGACAATGTCAAAAACTTGTTTTATCACTTTTATATCATTATAAATGTACATTATCTGGCTTTTAGAACTGTTTGTCAGACAAAACAAGACATTTCAAGCCACCACCTTAGCCTTTAGGAAAACTCTGAAGTGATTTTATCCAAAATATCGACAGTACCAATAATGATATTGCACCCCTAAATCTGTTTTACACAAAGCAGTGAAATATTGCCACTGTACATGACTTGTACTGCCCCTTTCTTACATTCCACACAGATTTCCCAATACAAAGTCATCCACTATTTGTTCATATTTTTATATATTAAAATTTTTATTGCATTTCAACCCAGTTGCTTGAACCTGTCTTGTCCTATCACAAAGAAAAGTAATGGCACTGTTTGCAGCTTCCTGGTTTTGTGCATAAATTTGTCGTGAAATGTGACCTGATCTTCACCAAAGACAAATATCAACAAACTGCAACCCTTTCCAACTACATTATGTGCATTATATTGTGTTCTTGTTGTATTTTTATTTGCTTCTTACTGCCTATTTAGATGTGTTATTGCTCATTTACTTTATATTTCACCTGTATTGTGTGGCATTCATGTGGATGGCAAAGTAAGAATTTCATTGTACAGGGAAACATGTTTCCTAACCGTGCATACAACAAATAAACACTTTGACCTTTGACCTACATGCAAATCAACAACTCTTGATCGTGGGTCTTCTGAGATCTCTCTTTGTGAGGCATGGTTCACATCAGCTGATGCTGCTTGTGAACAGCACACTGACACTGTTTTGAGTGTTTTTATAAGTCAAGGCAGTCCTAACCCACACCTCGATTCTTGTTTCATTGATTGGACTCCAGCCTTGCTAACACCTGACTCCGGTTGACCTTTAGTGCCATCAGAAGCCTGATCCATTACTTTTTCCACCATCACTTTGTATGTTTAATGGGTGTGTTCAGTATAGATCAGATCACATTTCATGACCAGATTATGCAGAAAACCATGAAATTGCAAACAGTGCCATTTACTTTATTGCGACTGTATTTATGATGCATAAAACAACACAGCATATGCTACTTTAGTCAGATGTGAGTACAGCTTCTCTTTCTGTACAAGAATTTATTTAATGTATTCATGAGAATGTTAATTCAAATATAAAATGGTGTAAACATGTTTTATGCTGGTGGGGCTGCAAAAATAAAATATGCTCTGATGTTTATGGGTATATGCAGTAAAAAGAGGTGAGAAGTAGTAGCAGAGGATCATATTGCTTGTTGTTACAGGAAAATTTGATTTCAAGAATCTAAGAGAAATGCAGTTTGATTACAGGCAGATCTCAGAGCAGTCTGGTTCTGAGTGTGTTAGTTGGAACCCACAACACAAATCTGGTAGGTAGTAGGTGTCATGTTATTTTCATGGAAGACTTTGACATTTTGAATGGTGCTATAATGCTTCTTTTCATCCAGGCATTTAGCGTGGCATTAGCATTGTTACCATTCCTCACTGAAACCAAGAGGCACAGCTAGGTTTAGTATAAATGTCAAAGTATTCCTTTAGGGGTTAAAATCAGCAGTCTGCACATCGCCCTGACTGAATGCAACCTTAAAGCTGGATCTTGCCTCATTTTTGTGATTCTGTACTGGAGATGTACAATTGATATAAACCACGATTATCTGAAGGGCTGATTAAGGAGGTACATGTGGGACAAAGGCAAAAGGATTAACAGTGAAACAAGGCACTTAGATTTCATCTGAAGAAAAGAAAGCAGGGAGGTGTAATTATGATTTGTGCCATTAGCATTGCCTCTTTCTTCATTTCATCAACCTGAACACTTATTTTCCAACATTTCTCCCACTCCTCTATATGCTCACTATACCAAATCTCTACAAAATAGAACTGTACAACTGTGTACTGAAAATATCCCTCAGTAAATAAATAAAAGTGTACAAGTACATGGACTGTAGATGTACATAAATGGGCTCTTCTCTCTACTTTCTGGTGATTAAAAGCAGAGAAAGGAAAGCAGTCATGCCTTCAAATCCCTCTTTTTCTCAATGGGTTTACATTCAGTGTTGTGTCAGTGAGGTGCCACCAGAGGGCAGTGGTAACAAGGGTCACTGTAGCCCCTGAACCTTTAAAAATAATAAACAGGGAGCGACTCTGTCCGAAAGCATTCCCCACAATCCTGCGTGCTCATTTTGTTTCCCTGTGTTTTTAAAGCATTAGCCAAGCTAGCTGGCCAGCTGCAGCCAGTCCTGCCCTTTAGCTTATTAGTGCTCGTATCAACAGCCACTGGTTACAAAAGGAAGAAAAGCGCTCGTGTGTTAGCCTTCATGC